ATAGATCTCAGTGACCATATTTCTATTCCCGAGTCACATGGGGGGATTTTGGAAATGAATAGTCTGGATTGGTATTAACTGTTAAATAACCTTGTCCACGACACGATGAAATAAAATTGAGAATGGAAATGGGGAATGTGTCACCGAGACAACAACCCGACCAAAGAGCAGAAAACAGCCCAATGCCACCAATGGGTCTTCAACACAGCGAGAAAATCCCACACCCGGAGGCGTGCTTCAGCTGAACCATAAACAAAAATGTGTTCTAGTTCAGTGAGAATGGACGTCACACTTAACTCCGAAACATATAAATGAACTAAAATTAAAAAACACATAAGACGCAGTAAAACTCAGTTTAAAGGAAGTCCGAGTCCGATTTCAGATGTCAGAATAGGTAACAAAAGAAACTAAGCAAAATGACAATGATACATAAATTAACAAAGGACTACTAGCAGTAACTGACATGCCAGCTCCAGACCTCAATTAAACTGATTGAAAAATTATGTTTTCATCATATGAAAATCAAGCACAATCCCTCCCGTTAGGGGTTTAATATCATACCATCATAAAATATATGAGAAGAACATAACCCGTAAGCCGTATCATGCCAACAACTGTTTATTTCCGATGCAAAGACCATACGAGTGAATCAATATTTATTCCAAAGTATGCTATCTTTAATGACCTGACAACAGTATCGTAACTATATCCCTTCTGAATAAGTCTGTTTAAAGGTTTGGTTAGCTTTTGAGGTAAATGACGACATTTTTGTGCTTTGTAAAGAATATTACCATAAAAGATTGAATGTGAAATACATGAACGTATAAGATGTCTGCATGTTGATTTGTATTTGCGAATGATGTCCTTGTACCGATGATAAAATGACTAGATTTGTGATATCGAAAACCCTGGTGTAATAATTTTTCAGTAATACAGAGATTTCTTTCGTTTGAATCAAATACGTTGTTACATACATATGCATATTTTGTCATACAAAATGCAGGACTTTGCAAGAAAAGTTGTGTACAAAAAGTGGAAATAATTTTTGCGCTGAATAAATAAGCCGTACTATCAACCGGTGTGAAATGAATATTCTATCAGCGAAACATCCCCTTCACACTGAAAATCAAATAGTCCACTAAGACTATAAAAATTAATCATTTTAACGGGGCACATTTTTAGTTTTTGTCATATAGATAGGAAAATAATTTAATTCATAGTATTATTATAATCATATTCATTCCATATATGTAACTGCCTTAAATATTCACAATAAAATCCACGTTTTTGATATCTTGTTTAATGAACACTTAACCCACACAAGGCCTACAATGACTATCGTCTGCATGTAGTCAAAACCTGTTTTAAACCACATGTAAACATTGGATTTTATCAATGGGAACGTAATTGAGTTTAGTTTAAGTGTAGAGTACACTTACACCACACCGAGTTTACCTCAATGTGAACACGGCCTAAGACCATTTATCAAATATAAAAAATGCTATGTAAGTGCATTTCCAACTCTTAAAAAATGGATTTTTTTCCCTTTCAATCAGCAGCTTTTTTTAACTTCCTTCCTGATAATTTCCCTACGTTCCATCGTCTTCGAATTTTCCTTTTGTATCCCATATCTTCTATAATCATGGAAGAACAATAAAAAGGGGATTGTGGATATTAGAAAATTAAAATAAACAAGACTTCAATGTCTTGAAAATAACTCAAAAGAATTGTCACAAGTAAACGTTTATCTAAAACACTTGAATTGTAACGTGTGAAGTGTTCTTTCCTATTCTTCCATCAAACTACTATATATTCATTTACAACATTTTTTTTCAATTGAATTCCATACCTATATTCTGTATTTATTCGTGCTTGTTCGCTTAATAGTAAGACTTTCTTCAAGAAATTTATTTGTATCATTATTTACGAATCATGTAAAAACCATCTTTAATACTAAACTGTCCTTAACTTTCTTATCCAAAACCTTTCCCGAGCAAGTTTCCCCAGAGGGCATAAATGAAAATAAACATAGAATGAGTCACTCATTTTCTCTACCATCACTCATTTTCCTGACATCATTTGTTTCCAGTTACTCCGGCTTCCTTACTTGACTCTTACAGTTTTAAGGATTCTTTTGGAATTTTTGGAATTTTACTAGTTTAAATACCAGGGTTCTTTTCATTTTGGAGGGATGTACAAGTACGCATCCACGTCCAATTAATTTTCTTATCATTATAAAACTGCTATTTATTTGAGATGATAAATACGCAGCCTCTGTTTGACATATTTTACAAGCTTGTATTGATCATTGTTGTTTCTTGGAAATGAATGTACACACAGTTGTTGTCACATCTTAACTGACGTCATTTTGGAATTTTAGAGTTGTACCAGTTCATATCTCTAATTACTATTTTCATTTTAGGCCTGTCTTTGAGTCGTTTTTTGGAAATTTTAAAATTTATTAGCGTCTCTACATATGATGTTCGGGTAAAACTGTTTCACTTTTTTTATTGTATAGAAATCAAGATTGCTATAGTTTAATAATCAGAATAGTTTGATCTGATTCATTTTACATCGTGCTCATAATGATGAAGGATATCTGTTATCCGAAATATTTATAGATACATTTGTTCGTTTATTGTCATTTTTTGGTGATGTTGTACCCATTTAGACTGGTTATATATTATATTTTGTAGTGTACTGTATCATATTTATATGATCCATCGCCCCGTAAGATTTATCGTTGACTATTATTCAGTCATTTTATATATATATATATATATATATATATATATATATATATATATATAGATTGCCTAACAATGTAATTTTAACACACTATTTACATACTATAAATACCAAAGGGGTAAAGACGAGTTGCACAATCTGCACATGGCAATTGTTTATCCACATTTTCTATTTTTCTATATCTACACGTAACCATCTTAAAGGCATTTTTATTGGATGCAGCTAGTTACAACTTCGTCCAATGGAGACCATTACCTCGTGGATCAGAAACTCTGACGTATTCTACCAAGGATGAGGAAGAGTGGGTCGGATCGTATATATATATATATATAAACAAGTCTAAATTGAAAACAACGTTCATATATATATATATGTTGAGAATCAGACATCTGGACGAGGAACATACCCAATAACTTCCATTAGTTGTTTAAGAACTTCAAAAGTGTCACTACATATTGCCCTATGTTTTGGGGGTAAAGACGAGTTACCTCGTGGATCAGAAACTCTGACGTATTCTACCAAGGATGAGGAAGAGTGGGTCGGATCGTAACCCTTGGCTTAGATAATCTCTTTTCATTCTTTTTCAGTTTTGTCTAATATAATTACCATCGCTACCCGAGCTGACAAAGACGTGCGTTGCTTATACCATTATTTCTTTTTAGCTTTATTATTTCACGAAAAGCTAAAATATCAAATAAATATTAAAAAGTTAATTTTATATTATGATATTTTGTACGCCCTCTCATATATATATAGGTCCGTATGTGAATGTGAATTCATCCAGGGCTGTACATTTTCTGTAATGCAATGACAAAATGCATAACTCATAATGTTTAAAATAGAATTCAAAGATTTATTTGTTTGAAAAAATTATATTCAAATAAAAGGTAAATAAAGGCTCAGCCTATATAAATCCTTCCCTATAAAAAATGAAAACAGTAATAATAGGTTTTCAAATATAACACTAATGTATACGTCATTTTGTGTGACAGTGAGTCTGTAGAGGCAACTTCCTTAGTTAATCAATTGATCTCAATGTCAAGTATAAATATTGTATTCTTATCCATCATATCTTACCTTATTTGTTATTCAGTACACATGGACTTATCAGACTTTTTCTAGCATGCAATACATTCAGATGTTGAAATTAATCCTGATTACAATTAAGATTATTTTTAGTAATCAAAACTTTATACATAATAAGAGTGTCTATATGATATTGTTTTTTGTTTTTCTTTGTTGAAACATTTATTTGTTTTTATAGTGATAAAGATTATAAAACAATGTTGACTGCTGTATCCAAATTTTTGACATTTTCACCTATTATGTCTGTTTGTTTTGCTCACACATTATTGTCAGTATAACGGAATTGTATGCATCTGTAATAAAATTGTGAGGTTTGGCTAGCTATAAAACAAGGTTTAATCCACCATTTTCTACATAAGGAAATGCATGTACCAAGTCAGGAATATGACAGTTGTTTTCCATTCGTTTGATGTGTTTGAGTTTTTGATTTTGCCATTTGATAAAGGACTTTCCGTATCGAATTTTCCTTAGAGTTCGGTATTTTTGTTATTTTACTTTTCATATTAAAACATTGCTTTCACTTATTTCTAATGTAAAATTTTCTGTGAACGATTAATTTATTCATTTGCCTTTCACCAGTGGCCGTTCCGAACTGAAAGAGTATGCAAAACACTTTCAGTAATGCGTTGAATTCAACTTTGACCGTCTCGAGGTCCAACTTTTATAGCATTTGGAAGTGAGAATGGTACCTCGAAATTGCAACCGAATGTTCCTATTGTCTAGTTACCAGTAAAATGATTTATATTGAAACATACGGTAACCGTCTATCGAACTTAGTTTATTCCTAAGTTCTAGATAATCTCCGTCAAAAACTATCTGGCTGGTAATTATAAATTGTAATCATAATATCAATCGGACAAGTTTCTATGCGGCTTGTTTTGTCTTTTGTACCAAGCATTCAGGGGGGATATTTTCTAAATGTTGGTTATTGTTAATTGGTTAATTATCCGGTCGCTATGTTCCCAAGGAAGTTGAAATGATTATTTGGAACGATAGCCTTTTATTTTCGCAACGTTGCATTCTATCCTGTGTTTGTATTGTGTTAAAGGGCGACCTAGTGGTTAACGGCGGTCATGGTTCTTAAAGTGTTAATTGATACATTTTAGAATATTAATTATGACTTAAGATTTTAAATCTATATATACTGTCTTGTTCTTTGTCATCTAATCATCAGTGAAGAAAATTATGATCTACAAAACGCTTTATAAAAGTTGATGTATTGAATCAATATTGCATTACATTAACGTGCTGTATAGGGATACTTAAAAACATCTAACTGTTTATCCATATTTATATAAGTAAAAATATCAAGAGATAGTGTATACTCAGCATATTACATTATTATGATCTGCTTGAAATTACCTTTACAAATTTACAAAAAAAGTATAATGGATGCATTACTTTTAATTATCCTGGTGTTTATTTCTTCAGTGCATGGTGAGTATCTTTTTAAAACCTTAGATAAAAAAATCATCTTAATAGATTTGGAATGTTTGACGCAATTTTCTGAATTTAATTTCGACAGGAAATTTCTACCAAAAATGTGATAGCCGAGAGTGAATTAATACATGCAAACGTAAGGAACTTTAATACCTTAAACAGACCTTAATGGAAGAGGCAAATCGAGCCAAAACGTCAATTTTTGTTGAAAATGGAATCTTAGCTTATTCACTTCTAAAATGCTTATTGCTGATCGCATGAACAAAAGAAACATAGCATCTACTAAAACAACAAGACGTAAATATTATACTCCTACTACTTCTATTTGTGGAAAATACGGTTTTCCATTTTTTTTTAAATAGTCCTCTCTTCTTTTCTACCTATACATAAAGTAAGGCAAACAAAAATACGAGTTTTTGATTTCCAAAAGGTGAAAATGTAAAATGAGTAGGTTTGATAAGTTCGTAATAAAGCAAATATTCCTAGCTAAAATTTAGTATAAGGATTAATCCTCATGAATAAATGCTAAAGCAATGACTAGAAAGGACATCACAAATAGCACTTCAAAACCCAAAGAAAACAAATCAATTGTTTTTTATCTTTGATATATTATTAATCAGGCCGTGCGTTCCACTGCCGCATTGTTTTTTTTTTTTTATTTGCCATACCAGGTTTTTTGTATTTCATATTATAACATATATGTTCTGCTCGTCGTAACTACAATCCCGTCCCATTTTTCTCGATTGAGACATTGCAAAAAGCTATTACCGGAATTGTACATGATTTAGCATAACGACGAGTGTCATATGTTATATGCTACAGAGGCAGTCGACCTAGTGCGATGTGTTCCACCAACTTCAATTGGACAGTTGATATAGATTATCATAATTGTTCGTTTACATCACATAATAAACTAAGAAATGAGAACTTTAAAGTAAAAATGTCAAGTTTGAACAATGTCTAGTTGAGATTAGAAATATAGCTTCAAGCTATAAATGTTTTTGAAGGAAAATTGTCAATTGGGAGATAAGAAATGTCAAGTTGGGAATAAGAAACTAAAATATGTCAAGTCTGAGGTGAGAAATGATAATTTTCCTTTCGGCTTAGTCATCAGTTTTCTTAACTTTCTACGACCCTTGCTATCTTCTCTCGCTTTTCATGCAATGCAAGGTAGGCTCATTGTTGAAAGTCGGATAAGATCCCCATTTCTAAAAAAAGAATCACAATAGATGTCATTAACAGCCTTTCGTTGTTCCACAGAGCCAATAAAAGAGGGGCAAAAGATACGAGAGGGACAGTCAAACTCATAGATCGAAAATAAACTGACAACGCCATGGCTAAAACAGACAAACAGACAAATAATAGTACACAAGACACAACATAGAAAACTAAAGACTAAGCAACACGAACCCCACCAAAAACTGGGGGTGATCTCAGGTACTCCGGAAGGGTAAGCAGATCATGCTCCACATGTGACACACGTCGTGTTGCTCATGTTATTACAAATCTGGTAAATAGTCTAATTCGGTAGGTCACATTCGTGGTGAAAAAGGAAGTGGATTGTAATTACGATATAAGGAACATATCCGATATCATCTGTGAAACGGTTATTGCATAACGGTCAACCAACTGGTGATGGCGTCCGTAAAATATACAAAGGGATGATTTCAACTTCACCATTTGGAACTCTTGATTTAATAGCTTCCTTGTGATCAATATCATGATCATAATTTCCGAAGTTGACTTAACGTCTATAGCCATGTTTTTGCTCGCGATCGTTGCCTTTGCAACTTTCGATATAAATATATTTTTTTTTCAAAATAAAAATTATCTTAGAAATATAACTAGTATGTTTTAAATAATGTAAAAACCTGTAAACAGGAAAGTATCCTACAAAAAAATAATTAACCACTTAATATTTCCCTGCCCAGATATTTCTTTTATCATCATACCATGTCTTTTAACTTTCAATTAAAAAAAAACGCTAGATTATATATCCATAATGAACATATTGGCGTTGAATTGCTGAATATTTACGACTTTTTATAAAAAGAAAAGACGCAGTTATCAATACAACCCGATTGCCGAAAAACCAATAAATTACGTAAATAAAATGAGTTTTCACTCAATTTCAATTATTGCTACGAATATTAAACAAAGTACTGACGATAATTATTAGTACAAACCGTAGATATTAATGTTTAATAGACATTATCGTGTTAACGGCAACGCTACATTCATATATATATATCTGTTTTGCATTATACACTACCAGGAATTTATATAGCGTTTACATGTTCTTTTAAAGGCCACTACATATACAGTATATGCATTTGGATGTTTATTGTTAAACTGAATTTTGGCTACAAACAACCATCCAAAATAAAGAGCTGCAAAAACTATACTTCTCATGAACTAGTTTTGTTTTAGTTTTACCTAGTACAAAATGTATAACATGTGAGCATTCACCATGCACATCCTCTCAAAAGATTTTCTTTTCCTATAGTAGCAGGAAAATCGTTTCACATATGACTTTAACGTGGTTCTTTACAATACATATCAAAATATATATCTTATGTTATTAACTTGTCAAGTGACAAAAAACGAAGATTTTGTAAATTGGTCTTTTCTGTCAATTTGTCATAAATTTGTTTCCATTTCGTGATCAAAACGTGAACTATTAGAAATACTATCATGGATCGCTTTTTTGCTTTCACTATCTATACATTTAAAAAAATTATCCTAATGATCACAGAACTTATGAACAGTTTGGACAAAGATCTAAAGGACAACTCTCCATCCAAGTTACAGTTTATAAAAGTAAACCATTATAGGTCAAGGTACGGCCTTCAACACAGAGCATTGGCTCACAGCGAACAGCAAGCTATAAAGGGCCCCAAAAAATTACTAGTGTAAAACCATTCAAACCGAAGAACCAACGGTCTAATCTATATAAAAACGAGAAACGAGAAACACGTATGAACTACACAAACAGACGACAACTTATGTAAACTTAGTTATGATAATATAAAACTAGTTTAAGATATGTTTGCCTGTACTTAAGTTTCAAATGTTCTCTGATCAAAAGCAGTGTTTCATATCTATACGTGTTTTCCTTTGAGTTTTTTATCTATTTGTTTGCAATAGTATCTTGTCCTTTAGAATCAAGTTTTTTTATCGGTTTGAAGTTCTCTACCTAAATATATTGAATCTTCAATTAAACTATATAATATTATTCAACATCTCATTTCGTATCTGTATTTCATAGCTGGTTTCCCAATTACTAAGAACGGTTTCTGTTGTGAATTATCCCATCTTGATGCAGAAATAAATGATTTATAATCAATATAACATTACAACAGGCACTTTTTCTCTAAAGAAATTTCATATATTGTACCTCATTTATAAATGTAATATAACACAAGGTACTAAACTCGCTTTTTTGATATTGACAGTTTCTTTATATTTTGATTCCGCGTTGTCTATCAGAATCTTTTTAGATCGGGAATTTACTTTGAATTATTTACAAAATGATGTATTGCACGCTTATTTCTGTTTTCGGAATCATTTGTATCAGGCATTCCAAGTAGGTCAACCGTAAACTATTTCGTCTTCTCACAGCCAAATGGAAACGAAAAAGAATTTGGAATAGCATAAATCAGTTTTTGTTGAAATCCTAACATAGTGTAAAAAGATATATCTCAAAATTTAGTAATCTTTTAACTAAAAATAATTTTAAACCGATTTTTATTATATTTTCTTATTTTATACATTTTTAATCACTTCGACATATTTTATTACATCTACATATCAATTTTTGTTGAAATCTTAGCATGAGAAAACATTTCTAAATGGTTATTTTTTTAACAAAAAGAAATACTAACTGTTTCCCACATCTATTCCCTTTTTCAAAAAATCTATTTGCGACACCTGGAAATAATATTGAATTGCATGATACCCAAATATCAGTTTTGTTTAAATTCTAGCACTAAGAGATATTTCTAAAAATATCCAATTTTGAACAGAAATATTTGTTACTTTGGATCAATTTGAAATCGCGTATTATATCTGTATATCAATTTTCTTGCAAAGTCTAGCACAAAAAGATGTTTCACATTTGTTATTTGGGATCTATTAGGAATAATATAACATAACTTTTTGTTAATTTGTATTAAAATTCTAGCACAAAAGACGTTTCTCCAATTGTATGCTTTTTAGACAAGAACTGATTTTTTTACCCCAAATTTTGTCCAAATTATCTAAAAATCAAAAGGGACAGTAGTAACGTGAGGGTACCAAATTGCACCTATTTTGACAGTTTTTTCCCCTATGTTTTTTTATGATCCAGACAAAAGTTTCCATTCTGTGTTTATTTTGTAGACGTATCCTTATTTACTATATAGTTACACCAATTTGATTTTGAATCCATATTGAATCATTGGAAAATGGGTTTGAACTGACCTCCAAACGATGAATGATTCAGTAACGAGGAGTACCCAAATTGCATCCATGCTTAAATTTACATTCTTAAAAATCGTATAACAGACGTTTTGCTTTATTTCTTTAAATATTTAGAACAATTTGACATAAGTCCATGCTTACCATTCAATTTTTAAGAAATGGATGCTTATAACATATTTTATTTGCTCATTTTTAAAAGATGACTTTTTGTGAACGTCGCATAGCGACGTTTCCGCAGATTTTACTTTTTCCTGTAAATGCTTCATCTGTTGATTATTCCTGTAAACGTTTTGTTTATATTTGAATATATTTACCTATGTTGAAAGACGTATATAATGTCAAATCATAAAAATAAAAATTGTTTAGTCTCAAAGAAAACTTGTAAGAATTCCGCAGCTATTTTTGTTAAATAGGTGCAATTGGGTACTCGGTGCAATTTGGGTACTGTGACGTTAGATATATGGTGCCCCTCTATTCAAATTTTCACGTTTATGATAAATCACGAAAAAAGATTAAAAAAGGGGGGCAATTCACCA